ACATCAGGAGGCGCTACTTTACTGTCAGGGTGGTTAGGAACTGGAACCAACTTCTAAGAGAAGTGGTGCTGGCTCCTACCGCAGGGGTCTTTTAAGAGGAGGTTAGATGAACACCTTGCTGGGGTCGTTTGATCCCAGTACTCTTTCCTGCCATGGCAGGGAGTCGGACTTGATGATCTGCTCAGGTCCCTTCCAATCCTACTAACTATGAAACTATGAAACTTTTGCTCTTCCAGTGTTTATCCCCCGACCCTTTATTTTTGTCAGTCATAGTCCACCAGTTTTAATAATCCTGCTTTAGGATATATATATTTTTAATATCTTATGTTTCCTGTTATCCATTGTCCTCTCTTCATTCTGTACTGTTGCCTTATATGAACCGTGACAGCTGGCCAAGGAACATCAGTGTTTCCCTTCAGAGTTTCTCATTCTTAGTCTTGAGTTCTTGCTTGTGATACTGGCCCTCTGCATTTATCAGAACGACAAAGCAGTATTAGGGGTAGTAAAATTTGAGCTGTGCTTTTCAATGATATATTTTTTGTTTACCCAGGAGTCTTTTAAGCTGGGAAATCTGCCCTTCACCTTTCTTAGCTGTATCAGAGTTTGTAGTGATGTGAACTGGTGTTCAGAGCTGGGAGGAATTATTAAAAAACTCAAACAAAAATTAAAAGCACAGCAGATTTGAGCTATGCATGTTTGGTTTTAGATTTCACATTTATGAATAATTTTGGAATATTAAGTTTCATCTTATTTATTTTAATTATTTATTACTTTATTTACCTCATCTGCCCCCACTTCCCACCCCCAAAAGGCTCTGAGCACTTAAACAAAATAAATTATTAAAACAGATTAAATATTAAAATAAGTACCAGTAATAAAACAACTCCACAAACAATACAACAAAACTTAACCTTATCTGCTAAATGCCTGCGCAAATAAAGTCTTCCAATGATTTTGGTAGATGTCCTTGGGCTCTGACATGCCTCAAGGGGGAGAGAGCTGAGGAGCTTCTACCGAGAAGGACTTCCTGAGTATTTTTGCCGAACTAATTTGGTGCACAGATGGAATTTACAAGAGGTTGCTGTCAACTGACCTTAGGGATTGCAAAGAAAACATAAAGGAGGAGATTGTCCATAAGCTGTGGGGTATTCAGTGCAGAAAAATGTACATCAACAGTAGTACTTTTTAATATGAGACCAAATTGTTGGTCATGCTACAACAGCCTTTCCCTGTCGTCAGGATCTGATGCAGGTGATAGCCAAATCTTGTACAGCAGGTTTAATCCTAAATTCTGCTATCTTCAGGCCCACAAAGAAATAAGCAGATACAAGCTAGGAAAAGACATTGTGTTTGTCCTTGGACTAGTTGTGCCTGTTTGTCCCAGAACAGAAATAGTCTGGGGTTGACATGTACACATATCACCTTCTAATCAGGGTTTAGAAAGCAATATGTGTACTGCCACTTTTCGGTCAATGATAAAATTATTCAATGCCAGGATAACTGTTCAGCTGTGCTTTACTATGCCTTGGGATAAATTGTTAGTATTTCTTATCCTGCAAACCTTTTTAGGACCCTGGGACAATAGATATGTACATCTGAATAGTTGGACTTTGTCCTGGGATGAAATGGTGTATTCCAGGACAACTGTAACATCTGTTTGCAGCCACGGAGTCCCTCCTCGTGTTTGGTAGTTCTAGGTGGCACCATGCTGCATTCTGAACTTGTATGATCCAGAGTGAGGCCCAGACCAGAACTGTGGTTCCAGTTTTGGGCAAGTCTAGTTCTGGATTTGAACTTCATGGCAATTGGTCTCACATCCAAGATGGACTTAACCAGACCCCAGGGTCTAAACATCCCTCAGATAGGACTAAAATTTGGTTCCAGCTATCAGTAGGGACCTATTTAATTTGCTGTTTCACGGATTTCAGAGAAACAGTGAAATCCAAGATTGTATGCAAAATCTGTGAAATCAACACAAAACCTTAATAAAAATAAAATGCTGGCTTCCCAGTGGGAGCCAGTGGCTCTTGCTGCCAGGAGGGGAAGGCACCATCTGGTAGGGTGGCACAAACAGCAGCAGGCAAGATGGTGACTATCCCCTTGTCCCTCCTGCTCCTGCTGGGGCCTCTCTTCCAGTCAGCGTCAAGGGACAGGGCCTGTCTGCCAATCAGCACTGAGGGGTAGGGCCACCACAAAATGACCATGGAATTAGAACTTTATGTAACAATTAATGCAATGAAAATTGGTAAGTCCTTGCTACCCCCTCCCCCCCTGCTATTTAGATAGACCCCCTAGCTATCAGACCTTGAACCTGCTCATGTATGTACCTTTTCCATAGTAACACCAAATGACCTCATCATATTGGTGTTTTTATGATGGTAGATGTTTTGCAAAGAGATGCTAAGAAAACTTCAATGTATTTTTCGTAACCAAATAATCTTGTATCATTATCTCAGAGCTACAGAAAAAGCTTCAGGTATCAAGATGTTCCAGGTGAATTATATACTTTTATCCAATGGAATTTACCAGCTGCCAATGGCATTATGCATATTGTTAACACTTTAAGGAAAAAGCCTACATTTAAAAACCTTGGGAACCCACAGGTACATTAATTTTTTTTTACTTCCAATTTTATGGGATATGATGATATTCCATTTAACAAGATTAGTTCTAGATTTCAGTCTTCTTAAATCAATGAGGCATGGGTTTTATGTATACTGATATAATATAAGGTCTTCATGTTCAGGTATTCAGATAACAGATGTTATAGATTCTAAGATGGAAAGATAAAAGCATATTAATTCTGTGTTTCAAGCTCTCATTGCTGCTAGCTTGCAGTTAGCTTAATCTCAGCTCTGGCCCTGAATCCTTTCCTCAGGACATGCATTTACCAGGTGCTTGAATAAAATTCTGGCATCAGACACTGGAGCATCTGCTGCAAGACAAGAGATAAGGCTTTTTTCTTCCTCACACCAAGTGTAGGAAAGCAAGAGCTCTCCCAGACCACACCTTTGTGGAAGAATTACCCCATCAGGAGCTGGACTGTAATAATTCTGGTGGTTACTATTACAGTCCTACAATATTAGTGATACTTTACTGGAACTGGGCCAAGCAGCAACTTTAGCAAGTGATGCCATCCTTTATATGACAGAGCCCCTGGAGAGATACTTTTTCCAGCTGGGATGGCAAGACAGAAAGCATTGCTTGCAAATCCATGCACATTTGGACACTCCCTTTCTCTTGTGATACTAGCAGTGCAATGGAGTCTAACTTTCAGATGGCAAAAGGAGCTTTTACACACACATATGCATGCCCACACAATCTACAGAACTCTAACAAAGCAAAATGTCTACCCTGCTGTCTTTACAAGAACTGATGGCACTAGTTTTCTCTGCACTGTGCATGCAGATCATGATGTCTGAGTACTGGGGCGTCTTTTGATGTGCAGAGAAAGATTATGTTAAAGCACTGTAAAAAGATTCCTATGGACATCACTCTCTACCTATATCCAAGAACAAATGGATTTTCAGATTAGCTGGAAAAAGCATTTGGACCGATTCCCCTCCCTCAGCTAATGAGTACTCATAATTCCTACTTAACTTAATCTGCAGAAGGCAGAAATCATGCTTTGAAATCAGCAGAAGTTACAAGTCTGTGCCACATATGCACATTGGTGTTGTGTGTGTGTAGGAATGAATATGTGGCCTAAAGTACCTAGGCTAGGTTACCCAGAATTTCTAAATACACTAAAAAACTATAATACTCTATGATTTCTCTGTCACAAAACCTGCAACCTTATCCAAAATAGGGGGTATTCAAGTTCATGTGTTGACTTCCAGGCTATGCTTACCCCTTTCCACTTTTGGCTCTTCTTGCAGAAAACCATTGGTGAGATTCTTGCTTCAATGGAGATCTTCAGTCGATTTGAAACTATCCTAGAGGTGATCATGTGTCTGTCTCTTCTAGGGTGGTTCAGCATGGATTACACTGAATGATTGCTACATTACTACTATCACAATCAGCATAGTGTTTCACATTTAAAAAACCCATTAAAAATAGTATCAGTAACTTGATTTTCTTTAACTGACACATTTTTACATTGATACTACTTTTCTTGTATTTATTTTATAAGAAAGTGTGTAGTGCAAGCAAAAGGTGCTAGTTTGAACTTTTTGGGCAATATATATATCTATATATCTATATATATCTCCAAAGTTAACATAGGCAACTGCAGTACAAGCCTCTCCCCAACACTGCCTTACACCTGACTAAAGCAATCCATCTCCAGATGAAAGAAGAGAGTTTATATTTTATGGTTCACTCAGGCCTTGGCACCTCTCTTGGGACTGCCAGTAATGACTTTGATCTATTTATGAGCAGCCCTTGATCTGTCCATTGGAACTACCAATTAGTGGCATATAAAAAAAACTGTACCTGAACTGTCTTTATGTGATAAACCATTGCAGCCATTCCCCTGAGTCAGGTTTGCATTGATGACTGACAGGGAAAGATTGTGCTGTTTTGTGTTGCTCCCCTGAGCTGTCCAATCCCCATGTTTTGTAACTCAGTTTTCCTCCCTCCAACATTTCTGTTTGCAGACAAACATCCCATCAAGTTACTTTTCAAGTTTGCAAAGTTAGTAAATGTATCTTAAGAATATATGTTTTGGTATATTTTCTATTTCTTGCCGTATAAAGGTATAGCTACAGTCATTGCATATGTATTCCTGTGTGTCTAAAACTTGCATTAAGAAAGACCTAGTGAAGTACTGATTGCTTATAGAAAAAACTATTAAGATTGTAGCAACCACTGTATAATAGTACCTTCTCTGGCACCGTTGCATTCTTAAGGTACCTTCCTATCTGTGTATTAGCTTCTGACTCTCATCTTGGGGCATTTATAGACATGCTCTGGGAGGCAGGGAGGTGGGGAAGGAATGGTGCTTTAATTAATCCAAGAGCCATACTAATTAAAAGTGCTCAGACTGTCATGTGTATCAGTGTCCCTATACTGAAAAATGGCATCAGGATGATTTGAACTAAAGCTGGCCTAATGAGTTTTAGTTTAAAGTGCCCCAC